GTGTGTGTGTGTGTGTGTGTGTGTGTGTGTGTGTGTGTGTGTGTGTGTGTGTGTGTTTGTGTGTGTTGTGGACTGTCACCACAACAACCCCATTTCCATCCAGATGAGCAGATCCAAAATTGAAACAGCTTCACTCTCTGTGTGCTGTTTTTAAAGACAACAGATTCTCTCTCTCATCCCCTTCACAAATCATCACAAACCATCCATAAAACAAAAAGGTTAGAGATAGGCAAAATAATAAAAAATAGTAAGAAATGCCAGGTTGGCCACGTTTGTGTGGTTCAGCGCCAAGTGCCCACACACCCGTCTGCCGCCAAAGCGCCACAGTTGCACAAATACATATGTATACACCTATATTTCAATTTTCAAACCATAAGAAGATGGAGGGCAGATGGCAACTTACCTAAGAGGCTAAGACAGAAGACTACTCCAGCAAGAAGGCACCGACCTATCCCCCCCAAAGGAGTCTGAAAAAACTTGGAGAGCCTTCCGCATCAGCCCACAAAACCAAAAACTCATTTACCAAAAAAAGTTTAAAAACAAACAAATATAACAGCATCGGCACCCTCTGCGTGTGTGAATCTGATGCCATGTTCGTCAGTTAGTAACCGACAACTGGCCAAAAGAAAAGCATGACTGTGCCAGACTGTTTTTTTTTTTTTTTTAAAGGTCCACACCAACTCATCTGCGTCATGTTCGCTATACACAACTCCGAAAAAAGAGAGCATGACTGTGCCAAACTGTTTTATTGTATCGGACTTTCACCGATTCATCAGGAGATTGAACCCCGACAGTCTTCCCAGGATGCATTTGACTCATGAACAAGGACGAACCACGTCACCCAGAGTTAGTGATACCCATCCTTGAGAGAGAAAAGTGGTCGAAGTTACGCACACACACCAAGCCTGCAATCGTGTGTGAGTGTGGCAATCCATAAAAAACTGGCAGTTAAGCATACGCACCTGGTACGCCCCTCCTCTCTCCAATGCTTGTCGCAATGCCTGAGGTTCGCCGGCGAACTGTGCATTCCCGCCAGAGGAGGAGGAGGAGGATCTAGACCCTTCGCCCACAACATCTGTGATGATCACGACTGTTGGGAATCTGGCTCCAATTGCCAGCCTATACATGCAGCTGCACAGTCTCTCCCTCCTACTCCTCTCTCCTGCAAATGGCAGGTCATCAATGAGAAGAAGCTTCTTCGAAGTTACCTTATCCCTCCAATCGGTCCAGTTTGCGCCACGCACTGACATCATGGCCGCCATGCCGCTCAACCCTCGGCCCTCTTCCCTCAACGATGAAGCCACGTTCCCTTCATCACGGATATTATCACCCCTCTCCATTCTGAGTGGTACCACCCTTCCTTCTCGTTCGAGAGCTGCTGCTGCAGCAGACGGGCCTGTCGAGTCCCATCCCCCTCCTAACTGCTGCCCTCTGCTTAACCCACCGCTCAGCGAGATGGCGGGAAACTTCTGTGCTCTTTCAACGAATTGCTCAAACTCGTCAAGCTTTGATGAGTAAGGGGTCCCTGCATTTGCCACGTGTCACAGAGTGAACACTTGTACCCCGCCGACAATAACAAATCAGCCAAAAGCTGCAAGAAGCCCCACTGCGACATCCATTAAAATTGGAGCGATTCAGAGAAGATTAGCATGAGCAGGGCCCCTGTGATAAGGTGACACGGACGAATCGAGAAAGACCTGAAAAAAAAAAAAAAAAAAAAAAAAAAAAAAAAAAAAAAA